CTCCATTTTTCCTCACCTTTTCATCTCCAGAGTAATATATCATATGGTCATCCGACTCAAAATGCCCCATGCCAGTCCATCTCATCTCACCAATGCCTAGAATGTCAATATTTATGCATTCCATTTCTTCCTTAACAATATAATAAAGGAAAAAAAATAGACATTCTTCTGGTAGTCTTTGTTTTCAGGCAGAATCCATCTGACATCAGCAATGATATCCCCGGTGCCATAGCAGCTTCTAAATTTAGCATGAATTTCTTGCAGTTCTCTATGTACTGTTCTGTTTTTGAATTATCTTCAGCACTATTGCATGTGATATTAATGATATCATTCGATAATTTCTACATTCTGTTGGTGCACCCTAGTATGCTTCTAATCCTCCCTTACTCTTCCCTGCCCTTCTTGGAGCAGCTGTTCCTGATTTTCAGAGCTGACTAGAGGCAGGAGCAAAGGATGGGAGCTTTTGGACACCAGGGCAGGCAACCCGCTCAGCTAGCAGAAAAGCCAAAAAGCCTTCCATACTAGGGACTTAAGAGTGTGTTCACGGTGCCTGGATGGTGTCCCACGTACCAAAAGGGATGGGCTGGGTGGCCCAGCTGCAGGAAAGACAAACAGGAAGTTCTCCCTCTACCCTGCCTCTCATCTCCATGCACCCTGAGCCCCAGGTGTCAAGAGGTCACTCACGTATTTGAGGATTGCCTTAAGTCGTGCCATGCACAAGAGGGTGACCCAGATAGAGACCACGGAGCCCAGGAAGTCACAGTACTGCAGCGTATCGTAGTTGAGGATGCACAGTACAGCCTTGCCCGGCTGGTCACAGGCGTGGTAGAACTATAGGGAGTGAGCAAGACAGTGAGCACCTGAATGCTGCCACCCATCACACCTGCCCAGGCTCCCTGAGGCCATACCGTGGAGAAGAACATGGTGTAGGTGTAGACAGAGGCCTCCACCAGGAAGGCACGCTGGAGGGAGACAGTGATGGGGGCCAGGAAGACTAGGTTGCTGAGGGTGAGCAGCAGGGTGGCCCAGGTCTGCTGGGACAATGTCTGGGCTGTACTGTTATCTGTGCAGCTCCAGCCACGCCAGCCTGCAGGCACAGAAAGGGTTGGTGAATCTCAGTCCTACCTGGGTCCCTGAAGAAAGGGTCAGGGACAGGCTACGTTCCCAATGCCACAGTGTACCTGTGCCAGGGCAGAGCTCGGGATGCTCACCTGCTTTGCAGCTGCAGCCCGCATACAGGTAGCCATGCCTGCGCAGTAGGAGGCACTGGCCATATGGCCCACAGTCATCTACACAGGGTACCAGGTATACGCTGGTTTCCACATGTGCCTGGATCTGCTCACACTCCCTGCATAGGGACACACAATAAGGCAGATGACCCTGAAGCCAATAAACCCCTAACCCAAAATCAGCCCCTTGCCCACCCTGCTCCAATACCCTGCAATTTTCAGCTGTTCCCCTGCCCATGTACTCTGGATCTAAGGATCCCCCCAGCACTCTGTCCTGGTTCTAGGACTGAGGTAGGAGTGATTAGCAGGCAGACAGGAGGCCCATTCCTTAGCTCGGCCCAGTGACATGGTGGTATCCCCTGGTCCCTGGCACACTCACTCAGGGTTCTCAGGGCACATAAGCTGCAATGACAGGTACCAGTTGTCTGTTTCCGGGAAGGGAATGATGATGTTAGCCTGCCAGGCGGTGGCACTCAGGGTCAGGGGGTAGCCCTGGAAGAAGGCTGGGAGAGGAAGGCTGGTTAGAGCTGGCTGGGGTGTCCAGCCAAGCACTGCCCAATTGTGCACTTGCCCTCCTGCCACATACCTGTGGTACAGTTGTATGACGTGTTAAAGCTCAAGAAAGGGGAGGCAGCATTCACACAGGCCACCACCACAGTGCCGTTCTTGACCATGGTCTGGAGGGAGGGGATCAGGATTGGTCCAAGTCCCAGCATGGCCCTTGCCTGACTGGAGCCTACTCATTTAATGGCCATTTGGCAGCCCACACTGAAGCCCTGTTTTCTCATGTACAGTCACTATCCCTTCCTGGCCACTGTCACTTGATTGTATGGGCCCTGTCTCCGTGACTTGAGGAAGTATTGATCAGGCAAGAGGCCTAGGGGCCCAAGTCAAGGCCAGCCCAGCCCTGGGGTATCTTGTCAGCCCAGCCCTGGGGTACCTTGTCAGCCCAACCCTGGGGTACCTTGTCAGCCCAGCCAGTCATTGGCAGTGCTGGCCAGCCTATCTTCCCTAGGGATACTCCATTAGTCCAACACCCCTTCCCAGGCACCTTGTTGGTCTGCAGGGAAATGGTGAGGGAGCCCCCACTGTCCATGCCAGTGTTGAGGTATAGTCGCAACACAGAGGGAATTCTGGGCTGCGCTTGCACCGAGACTCTGTTCAGGAGACGAAAGCGTACAGACACCACATCCAGGTCTTCTCGCAGCACTGGGAAGCTTGCCAGGCAGGAAGGGCTATGGCCAGGGTCTTTGGGGCCAACCGAGGCATTGAGGCTCTGGTTGAAGCCACCCTGCAGGATGTGTTGGACATTCATTGTCCACGGTCTGCAGTCTACAGGAGACAGGGTCAGTCAGAAGGCAGCCAATGCAGAGCCTCTCTGCCCACCTACCCGCCAGCCATTTACTCGGCCCACCTGTGAGGGAGGCTATGATGCTGAAGGTAACAGGGACTTTTGGCCCTACCAGGCTCTCAGCTGTCACCTGCAACCAGCGGTCCCAGGGTGGGGAGTGCAGCAGTAGGCGGCAGGCCTGGGATTGGCCATCACAGGTAAGCACCCTCTGGAAGTCATTGGGAAGAGTGACGGAGCCCACAGACAGACGCACAGGACAAGCCAGACTCCCGTTGCTCACACAGTTCTGTAGCTCCAGCACCAGTTCCCGTGTGAACTCGGGGATGAAGATCCTGGGGGAAGGAGGGACCCTCTGTCCACTCCCAGCTTTGCCACGGGCCCAGGCCCCCACTTCCCTGCCTGCAGGATGGGCAGTGCAGAGCCATTCGCTCTACAGCACCAAGGTGTGGGGACACTTGTCCCCTCTACTCACTTGAGGTAGCTGGGGCGGGAAAGAAAGAGGGTCTGTGGGAGGGGGACTTCGGGCTCCAGCACTGAGACCTCGACAGCCCGCAGGACCAGCATATCCGGTTGGAGGATGTAGGCACAGGAGGGGATGAAGCCCTGGGCAGAGAATCAAGCTGAGGACAGTGCAAGCAGATGTCCACTAGGTGATAGAGCAGGGCAGGGCACACCCACACCAGGGGAAGCAGCCTCTCACCTTCACCTGGATCTTCTCGGGGGAAGGGGGCAGGTGTGCAGCCAGGAACCAATCTCCGGGGGCAGGGTGGGAAATGTTGATGGAGGAGTTGATTTGCAGCATGGTTTGGAGCTGCATCTGAATGTGGAATGAGGCGGGCACCGAGGTGTTATCAGGGAAGCTGGTGTCCAGAGGGTTGATGACTGGAGGGGCACCATAGCGGAAATGCCTGGGGTAGGAGAGAGGCATGAGGATAAGGTCTGGCCAGCTAGGGGTGCAGGGTGTGGGCAGGCAAGGGACACATACACGGTGATCTCCATGTCCGAGCACAGGGGGCCCCGGCCTCTGGACACCTGTAGCAGCCAGCGCAGCAGGATGGTGTCTGGGGGCACCTGGAAGCGGAAGAGCCTGGAACTGCCATACCAGCTGTAGAAGGACAGTCTCTGAGGTGTCTGGGAGAAGAGCTCTGATACCAGCCGTAGGTCTGTAGGAACACACGCCCACCTGCGGGTCAGCCCTGAGATGTGGAAGGGGCCAGGACAGGGTCTCCTGAGCACTGACTCTGTGGGACAGGTGCTCAGCTCAGTGAGTGTCCTCTCAAGGCATCCCATTCAGCTCATATTGCACATCCAAACCACAAGGCCCCCTCTTCTACTTCATGGGACAAGATGTACCCACCTTGCTCTCCTGGTCTCCCACCTGTAGCCCCAGAACCCACCCTTCCTATGTACACAGGAATGAAGGTGGCAGAGCAGACTTTGCTGCTCCTCCCATCTGCCCTGGGAGCTGGACACCAGGGCCTCCCAAAACAGGTACTTCCTGGGTACTCTCTGCCCTTGAGGAGTGCCCAGCCAGTCCTAGGCTCTGGCACTGTGCCTCAAGCCCAAGTGACCTTGGGCCGCCAGAGGTGGACAGAACTCTCTCAAGTGCCCCTCCCTTCGAGGCTAATGGTTGATAAAGTGCTTGTGGAAGAACCACGAAGCAGTTGTGGGCAGAGCAAGGTGGGGTTGCCTCTGCTGAAGGGGGTGCTCTCCTGTCCCAGGGCTGACAGGCAGCCTCCCTATACCCCACAGGGGAGCAACAGACTCTGGCCCTTCCAGGGAGCAGATGAAGCCAGGTGACAAACCTGTCAGCCTCATGACAATGTCCCTCCCCAACTCAACCCCAAAAACCAGAGAAAAGAGAACATGCAGTGCCAGTTCCATGAGCCCAAGAAGAGGCCTGGGTCTGGAGGCGGCCTTGTTAGGGCAGGGCCATGGGCACTGGCCACCAGCATCCTACACACCAGACAGGACCCTGGGCACCCCTGAGCCCCTGTGATGGGATAGTTCAAACCAGACAGGTCCCTTCCACCCCAGAGCTTAGGAGCCAGCTAAGCTCCCCATAAGAGAGAGGACCAGTGGGGCTAAAACTTGGCTACCTTCCTCCACCAGTTAGAGGGGGCAGAAGTGTCAAGAAGGAGGCCTGAGGACCACCATGGCCACCTAGCCCCAGGCAGGGTGCTATTCACTAGTGTCTATTTCCTTAGGCTCAAGAAAGTCTGAGAATTCCAGCAGATGCACCAGAGATAAGAGAGGAGCTGGAGATGGCCACTGAGCCCCTGCACCTTTCCCATCCCCTTCCCCAGCGTCCAACTCAGCCCCTCTCTAGGATTCTTTGTTTCCATCAGCAGCCCAACTATAAGCCCAAAGTTACTGTGTGAACAACTACCAAATGTGGAGGCCACAATTCAGACCTGAAAGATGAGAGGAACCACTGGGCCTGATCCCCACTCCACTCCAGGGGTATAGGGGGAGGATTGGGAAAGGAACAAAGCCCTGAGTCCCCCCAGATACAGAGTAAGAGGCACACTAAACCATAGAGACCTTTGTTAAAGAGAGCCTCTCATTCACAAACCCCAGAAGTTATGGATCCTGGGGAATGAGGCAGAAGGGGAGAGCGTAGGGCCCACCAGGCACCCACACTGACTGTCCCAGGTAAGCTAGCTCCACCCTGTCCCCACCAGAGGCCCTTCCTCAGGCCTGACCAGTGAGATAAGGGACAAGGAGTAAAAGGGATGGCAGCGTCCAAGAAAGCACTTTAATCAGGAGCTGGTCCCCATGGGGCCTGCCTTTCACTTCAAGTTATGCCAAGCCCAGAACCAGAAGGCACAGCCTCAGAAGAAATAAGAGCCCGAGGAGGTAGACTTCAGAGAAGCCGGGGGGAGGGGCTGCAGCCGGGAAAGGGAGGGGAGGTATCAGCCCACGATCTGCGGCACTGCCTCCTGGAAGCCTCATAAGGCGGCGCTGGGGTAGGGTGCAAAGAGGAACTGGTCCAAGAAAAATCTTGGAGAGAAATGACACTCTCACCTCTTTGCCACCTCCGTGGGCCCCAAAAGGGGTGATTGTCCTCAGGGACACAAATGAAAACGCCCAGCAAGTTTTCGACTTCCAAGGGGAGTGCCTCCCCCGCCCCCCCCCCCCCAGCCAGCTCCTCTGAAAAGGCTTTCCAGACTCCAGCCCACCTCCAAAGAAAAGAAAGTGATGCGTCTGACCTGAGCCCCCCCCACACACACACCCTCAGAGCTCGCTCCAGACTGTAAGCGACTTCTTCTCTGCCCCTCCCACGGCCCAGGTGGGCCCGGAATCCTACAGTCTGGCTCTATTCCCAGTGGGTTTCATGTTTGATTCTCCGACTGAGATCTCTGGGTCCTCTATCTCTGCGTAGGGCGCACGCCCTGGGAGGACAAGAAGGAGCGTGAGAGGAGCCATCAGTCCAGCTAGCCCAGCGCAGGGGACTCTCGTAGTGCGTGGGGCGTCTTTTGCACCCTGACAGCTGTGACGTGGAACGCGCCATCCTGGTGGGGGGGGACTCGATCCGGTGCGCTGCCCCTGAGCGCACAGGTGCCCTCAGGTAAGTCACAATGCCGACATCACCCCGCCCGCGCTCCTGGGATGGCGACCCCTGTCCACCCCGGCCCGCTCTCGCTCACCGCTCTTCTTACTGTCGCCGGGGGCAGCGGGCAGGGGCCGCGCGAACAGCAGCCACAGCAGCAGCAGGAGCGAGCCTGCCGCGGCCGCCGCGCGCCCGGCCCCGGTGCCAGCCCGGCCCATGGT